CACTTACTAAATTTATGACAAGTTCGAAAATAAATGTTAAACCGAATATTAATTTGGCATAAGTTTCAATAACTCGCAAAACTAAATGGTAGGAGGCCCTTTTCCTACCTCACATTTCCCCCTAGCGGAAGGCGGGTTTGCTCGTAAATGTACCCTCACGAGCTGACCCGCCTTCTGCTAGGGGAAAAAGTGGCGAAGGGGAAGGGCCTCCCACCACTTGATAAATTTATTTCAACTACTGGAATAAATGTTAAATCGAATGTTAATTTAACATAAATTTCAATAATTCTCAATACCAAGTGGTAGGGGGCCTTTTCCCTATGTTACTTTTTCCCCTAGTGCAAACCGAGTTTGCTCGTGGGTGGACGTGGGTTGCAGAAAATAAAGTTACACAATTTAAAACAATTAATTACATACTTATTTAATACCAAAACCAAGAATTGAAAGATACAAACATAATTCTTAAAAATAAACAAATTTGAGATTGATGAAAAGCAAGAGTAGGTATATTGTGTGCAGATAACTATAGTTAACATCTATCATATATAAGCTTCAATTTGCTGGTTTCTTCTGCAAAAATATTTCTCATTAAAGAGTTTCATTCTAATACAATTTTACTTAATACTTTCACGTAATGACGATAGTATTGGATTTTTTGTATCTAATTGCGTTGCGTATTGCATTTCGGCCCAAGTATTTTTTTTTATAACAAAAGTTTTTAGTAACTGACGAATATTTTTTTAGATATTTGAATAATTTCTGGATGACGGGGCGGGGGGGGGGGCAAGCTCATCCTGGGCCCTACCTTGTTACGCCAATGGTGACAACAAATAAATTATTCCACAGGGATCGCTCTCTTTTATGTTTCTCTCTTTGTATTCAATTCTTTCCTTATATTTTGGTACATACATGAGTCATTCCATGGAAAATCGATTAAATTTTGGACTTTTTGAACATGACCGTCAGCAATATTTTTCATTATTTGTAGATACTTAGATACCTATGAGAAAAGCATTTTGGTAAAACTAATCTCCTGCGGGACATTTTTCCTGAATTACAGTAGTTTAAAAATCATAAAAATGGTCAATTTTCGTCTAGCATAGGTATGTTCTAAAAATCTGTATGTTGTTTCTGAAAATATGCACTTTTCCCTAACTAACACAAAAGTAATTATCTTAATTGCCCGAATAGAATTAAAGTTATGATTTTTAGAATATACCTATGCTAGGCGAATAATGGACCATTTTCATGAATTGCAAACTGTTGTAATTCAGGCAAAATGTCTCGCAAAACATTAAAGGTATTCGAAAATGCTTTTCTCATAGGTATCTACTTTTCCCCAAAAAAATTTAAAAAATTGGTGATGGTCATGTTCAAACTATCGATTTTCCATGGAATGGCCCACATACGTTCCGCTCGAAGTTTCGTACAAAAGTGATGTTTTCATCAATTATGTTGCAATATTCTTTTCTTCAGTTCAAAGAATACAACATGCAGTTGTCTCAATTAGAAAGAAAAAGTTAAAATCGGTTAGAGGGTTTTAAATAATGGTCATTGTTGGACGGGTACCCAGGTCATAAAACAGTGTGGAACTTTTCGGATATAAACATTAAGGATAATAACGCGATTGTTTAGAGCGGCACAGCCTTTGGTTTGCGTATTGAGAGGATCACCCTATACTAAAAGCAGTTCTATCTAGTGTAAGTATTTTGAAAAGTAATTGTCCTAGAAAGAATCCTTGTAAGAAAACAGATTTATCATTTTGTTTCGTTTAATTTTTAAAAGTAAAAACAATATACACGAGTCAGTAAAATTGAATACGCGGATCGTTTAAAAGGAACGTATAATAGAGACACAATGGCATTTTCGTGACGCAATATTTTACAAATAATGGCCACCGTGTAATAGAGTTATTGTCATAAATAACGCGGCGAGTATCTGAGTTATTTAATTAAAACGGTAACAGGTGCAGAATCTGTCCGACCATACTCTTTTTACCTTCTTTTCTTATCTCGGGCCCGCAGACAGAAGTTAAAATCTTCCGACGCTAACTCTAGTAAAGCGCGAGATTTAAATATGTACAGGGTGATCTGTATAGAGAATTCCAAATTATTCCCTCTTCGTTCACTAAGGATAACAATGAAGTTCGGTTATGTTCTTACAATACACTTTGTCACTGTCAATGTAATAGAAGCGAAGTCTTTTTTCTTTTTTACGATTCCTTTTTATATAGTCAGTTTAAAGTTAAAGTAATGTTTGTTTTAACAAATATTTTCACATATTATAATTGGCATCTAAAAGTCATCTAGGGTTAGATGTGACGACATCGGTTCTACTATATGATGAACTTTGCCCTTTGCACTTACTTCGTGTATATGTTACAGTAAAGGCGTTAATTCACTAAATGTATACATTTCCTAGTCAATGTATGCACTTTCTATGTCTGGTTCGTAAATTTATCTTTTCCTACTTTAAATGCCTGTTACAAAGTTATGGCTACAAGTTTGATGCAGGATTCGTTATAAACAATTTGTGCGCATATTGGCAGCAACATATCCAGCAAATTGGTTCGCGCAGACTTTGTTTCGTTTTTGCCCGGAATTTCATACAGGTCATGTTGCAAGACTTGCTACCAATTTGCTTTACTATATTGTCAGCTGGCGTTGCCTGCAAAACCCAGGCCAAATGCGGAAACAGATGGCTATGGTTTTTTAGACAATTTCTTTCATTATTTGCTGGCAATTTGCTCGAAACTTGTACACAACTGGTTATCAGGGTAGTAAATGCATATATTTACATTTCGCATTTAGTAAAAGCATCCACAAATAAAAATGCATTGATTTCACTAAACATTTTTGATAGCATTTAATATGAATCATATAATAAATTTTGACATAATAAGAACACAAGAGCATTATTAGAACAGTGGCAAATGGACACAGGTTCATTGTCCACAGGTTCAGGGCAAGGTTTTATAAAATATCAATGTAAAACAAAATGTAAGTAAAAAAATACATGTGTCTGGAGAAGGAACTCATATGCAATTCCAGGTGCCATCATAGTTTACCGTGTTGTAATAAAAGGAAAAGTACTATTTATTTCTTTTTCAAAAAAAGCCTCATCTATTTTATCTAGTAGATTTAGGTTACCTATTCTCTTTAAAGGATTTATTTATGTTAATTTATGTAACTTAAGTATTTGTGTTACATTATAATTGTTTCTTTCTAATTGTAAGTGTATTAAATAAAAATATAACCTAACCTATCTTATATTTATTAAATAGAAACCATTATTCATTAAAAAAATTGATTAAACATAATATACCTATGTGTACCTTAAAAAATTATAATGTATGCATTATCTAGTAAAGGAATACGTTTACTTGAAATAGTATACATTCTTATAATGTATGTATTCGGTTCATACTTCTGCTAAAGTCGTACGTAACCCAAATAGAGAACATACGTATCGAGCATTCGGTATATTCGGAGAATGCCCCGAACGGTCCACATGTCCCCCTACGTCCTCGTTACGATCTTTAAATGTCATAAAAAGGTCGTCTTTACAAAGTGGAACGTCCCAAAGACGTCCTGTGTCGACATTCTCAGAACATTTTCTGAAAGTGTAAAAGTAACATTTTATGTACTTTTTGGGAACGTTTTAAGGGGTCATGCTCAGTCAGAAATTTATAAAAAATCGATTTTTCACTTTCTACATTTTCTTTAAATACATCTCGAGAATATTCTGTGCAAGTTTCAAGGTAATCCAATTAAAAATGACAGAGTTACAGGCGTTAAAAAATGAACATTTCATATAAGTGTAAGCTTGACTTGAAACTTTAAACGCGTTTTTCTCGAAACTACATTTTTCAAATCGGTGATCAATATTTCTCGAAAACTACTGTGTCGATTTACATGAAGCCTTTTGCGCCTTATTTCAAATCAGAAAAATTTGTCCTTGAACGAAGGATTCTTTTGTTCGTTCCATACTTTTTTTTTAATTGACCAAAAACGAGTGACTTTTTAGGTGAAAATCGCACTTTTTCAGGAAAACGTCCGCTATTATATTCCTAATCAATATTTCGAAGAACCCCACGTTCAAGGACAAGATTTGTTCTTCCAGTACATAAATCTTACTGAATTTTTAATTTCAGATAAACCGTTACGAAGTTACAGTGATCACGGCAGACCACTTTTTGTGAAGAGACATCCGGGAGATCGTTCACCATTTATTTACTAATAAATATTTTTAAATAAAAAAATTACCTTATAATCTAGAAACTGCAATCTTTGAAAGACAAACACATTTTTTTAAAAAGGTCTTATAGTTTTCCAGAAAAAAATTCCCAACGAACACTCTTTTTTCGGCCTCCTGACTGAGCATGAACCCTTAAGAATTTTTAAAAACTCTATAGTAATATCTTAAAAGGCGTATAAGAAATGTTTCCCAAATGTTTACGGTGCTATCTGAGAAAAGCATACACTCGATAGTAAGTCATTTACTAAACTTCACGCTTTTACTGTGACATATATGTATACTTTATATGTATATTAAAGGCAAATTATCAGTTCCGTAATTATTATTCAATCTCTAAATCATAAGATTATACGTGTACAGGTCGAGTCAGAACACCAGTTACGAGAAACAGAACAACAAAATATCTCTGTCAAGATTGAAAATGGGAGGAAATATCAATGAGAAAAGTTATGCTGTTCGAAAGGACAAATAGATTGATACAAATAAATGTTCGATAGGATGTTATCTTCAAGGTTATTTAAACTTGACATTTTCTCCGATCTTCAACCCGAACAGAAATATTCAGGTGGTCTATTACTCGTGACTCACCCTGTATAAATAAAAACACTCGCACCTCTCAGATTTGTCCAGAAAAGTTCCATGAATTTGGTACCAAAAAGATTTATTCAATTGCTTTAGAAAAAAAAAGGCTTTACCCATTATAATTATGACAATAAAATATACAATACTACACAGGGACATATTCATAACGCATTTTCCATGCGGACGGATAAATCCTTCTGTCCCAACTCAGATTCCTTCTCCGCCATACTCAACACAGTCTGCACTTGCTGCACCTCGACGGAGGACAGGGTCGCTTCTATTTCCGGTAAAATGGCGTCCGTCAGGCTCAACGAGGCCAGCTCGCCGATGTCAGTGTTATCACGATCGGACAACACGTGTTTTAATTTCTTTATATACTTCTTCAGTCCAGCCTGCATAGCTATACCTGCTTTCGAATCACGACAGGGTATTTTCAACTCATCGACGCCGTTTTCTTTCGCTGTTGACCGACTGCCACTTGTTCGCCCCGAGTTCACAATCCTTGAAATTTTTCTCTTGCTCGAAGGAGACGTACTCGACCTTACCGGCATTGATTTCACACTATCTTGCAAACTGGTACTGATTTTAGAATCGACTTTCTGTTGCAAAGGCTTCGAAATCGTGGATAATTTACTGGCAGCCTTAGCGATCGGTAATTTCAATTGTTTTATACCTGAAGCAACTTTCCATCGACTGGAATCGTCTGATAATTTTGCAACACTCTCTCTGTCTTCCTCTTTACGTCTAAGCACATCGGAAGTATGTCTCCTTTGGAACGAATTCTTTGCGTTTCCTTTCATCTGTCGGTTCTCCTGCATCCTCTTATCGGCCCCCCTGAATCTTCCCGAGTTTTCATTCGTCGACTCTCTCTTCTGTTGGACACGTTTATTCGTACTGGTTCCCACGGGAGAATTTTCGTGGGATTGTTGTTTCTCTGGAAACGACTCCAATGAAAGTTCCTCTTTCGGACTAAGCGTGGCTACTTTTGCTATCGCGGGACTGACGGTCCGCGATCGCTGTATTCTATCGCGATAGCGTTTCGCGAATTTCTCCGAATGGCTCTGCTTCGATGGCGACTTCGAGCGGTCCACTACCTCAGTCTTCGATCTCCCAGTTCGGCGAACGGTCGCGAACTGCGGTTCTACTGGAGGCTGTTGAGTCACCTCGACGAAGGAAACGATTGATTCCGGTACTTGACCCCTGGGCGCCGACTCGGTCACGGATTTCGAGGACAAACGACTCGGACGAGTCGAAGGTTCGTTACTTAGCCTTCTAACCATTGGGTTATTCACTGTCAAAGGCGCGACCGTTTTCATTTCTTCAGTCTCGCTTCGAATAGGCTCCAACTTCCCCAACTCGTTGCTTCTAGAATTTATCCTGGCCAGCGAAGTTAATTTGAGGTTATCTCGGCTATCCATAGAGCTACTTCTCGGGGGGACGCACTGTCTGCTGGATTCCTTCTTGAACAGGACTCCCGAATTCCTCAAAGAATTCTTTTTCGTTGTTTCGTACGTCTTGCACGAACTTACGCTGGGATTCCCGTACTTTCTATTGAAGGACGCTCGCGAACCACCAACCAGGAAAGGTTGATATTGCGGACGATCTGACGTTCCACGCTTGGAAACGACCGAAGAGTCACGGGAGTGACAGGATTGATCGTCTGGATGCTTGCTCGACTCGCTGCGGACGCTCTCGGAGTCGATCGAGCTGATCGTGGTGCAGATGATCGATTCCCTATCCGCACCGTCGACCGAGGAGACGGTTTCTTGCCTGTTGTCCCGTCTCGGTGACCCGGATAACGTGTCTCGCTTCGAGCTAACCGAGTCTGTGCTCGAGGCGGTTCTCGAAAACTTCGTGGCGCTTTTTCTAGCCGCTGAGCCAGGATACGTGGCCCGTTTCGAAGACACCGGATCAGCGTCGACGTTGGATGGCCTGGACTTCGCTGTTCTCGAACGGTTTTTTATGATGGATTCTACAATGTACGAAACGTCGATGTCATTTCGATGTAAAAATTCGAGATTTCTGTCGACTGTTGGTCGTAATGTTATTGTTAATTTCGATGTGTGATTATGATAAGGAGAGAAGTTTATGTTTCAGTTTTTATGTAATCGTACAGTATTTTATTGTTAAAGTGCCGATTTTATTGCAGGAATAATAAAAGTTCATTTTTTAGTTGAAGTCGAATGAAATATTTGATAAATATATTAGATTGTTATAAGTTCGATCGTGTTGACGGCGGTACGAATCTCGAGAAGTGTTATCTGAAATTGTTGCCTATATCAGTTGCGATACACAAACACATTAGCCTATACTGGGTGTAACAAAAATGTTGTCCGACCCGGAAATGGGGCATTCGGGGGGTGAATTGGAACAAGTTTTTCCTTAGCAACAATTTAATCCGAGGCTTCGTTACCGAGATATTAACGAAAAACCCCGACCAATCAGAGCGTGAGTTTTAGCGCGAAAAATTAGCACGTCAATTTAAAAAACCTGGTTTCGAGAAGAAAGCGATTAAAATTATGTCGCTTGCCGTTTCGAACTCCGACGCGTCTCACTGAATGATCTGTAACATCGTAATTTTTGCGGATTGGTCTTCAGTATTTTGGAAGCATATTTTTGAAATGTTGTAATCTTCATTTGTTAAAAAAACTTAATTTTTTGACCTTGTTACACTAGAATCCCTCCTTAACGAAAAATAATTTTTTTATTTTACTCCATGCACCATATATTTAACAGGCATTGCTCTATCTGGTTTTCATTGATTTAGTACGTTTCAAAATTCTCTTAATGGAAAATCGTTCAATAACAGCGAGGAAATAAATACACAAATGTCTAATTTTTTAATTAAGTTACCCAAGAATATTTAAGTTACCCAAAAGCTGGCAGACGGTCATAGAACAAAATGGTACATGCAGTATTGATTAGGTAAGTTTTATATAAAATTAGTAGTAGTTAAAATTTTTGTAAAGAAACGCGAACGAACTTATTACACAACCTAATAAAAAGCAAATTTAATTTGTATGAACATACAAAACATCCAAGGTCGACAGATTACATTCAGTGAACGATTGGGATTGTATTACCATTTGCTATGACAGTTAGAATGACAGTAATAGTACTTCCTATATTTTCTAGAGCTTTGTAGGAAATAATTTTATAATGAATTGTGGAGAGTTCGCTGTAATAGGTAGAATGTAAGAATAATTATTATAATAGTAAGAATATAAAATAATTGTTATGTCATCGTGCCATTAAGTAATCCACTACTTTTATCAAATTTACTGTTCCATGTATTCCAAGAATATAATTCTCATTCTTCAAAATGCTCAGTCATTTTATAAACGAAAAGGCCAGGAAGTTGTTTACACTAAGTATATTAACAGTAGAACTATCAACTATTAACATATCTGTTTCTGTCATATGAGTAAAATTGACAGATTTTTAAAAGCATACACACTTTATAAATGAATAATTTATTTATCTATTGCAGTAAAAATTTTAAAACCTCAGAAAACGTGCCTCCATAATATTTTCATAATTTTTATAACAATCTACGAATTCCTCATTTTAATTGTTTCGGTTGGTAGTTTTAGTGTGAATACAAACAGCAGAATATTTATTAGTCAACTTAACCATCTTCAGCTGATTATTATAAAAAGAATAGACTATTTTTACCGGAGACAGAAATATTACTACCTCGACTATGTTTAAAGTAAACAGTATCCATTATTATAGTTGGTAGCTGGTCTCCATGCAAAAAATGTTCGAAGAATCCCAAACGGGAATGCAATGACAGGGGATCGAAGTGAACACTATAGAATACCAGTATGAGTAGACCAGCTCCCAACCACTCGCACATCAACTCAAGTCATTCCAGCTCTGGCATCGAAACGTGTTAATAAATAATAAAATTAAAACATAAACAGTCTCCTAAAAACTGAAGGCATTACCAAAAGCACATGTTACAAGTACCTAATTCGCCACCACGTTGCTTCCTCTTCACAACACCGTCATCACAAAACGAAATCTTCAGTGACTTTCCATCCTGACCGCTCGACTCCCGAGCCGTATCCCCACCTCTAGTCTCCGTCTCCTTTTCCATTGTTTCCGCTTTCTGCGTTCCCTTCACCAAAAAATGGTCCAGCGGGTGTAGATACTCAGCCTCCTTCTTGCTCATCCCTTTAGTAGCATCATAGTACTCCTCGACGAAATCAAAGACGCTATGATGATAACGGTCGTTCAAACGCACAGCAACGGTAGAGTCATTGGTGTTCAGATGAATGGAGTTTAGCACAACATCACCGGGAGGCTGATAGTCGTCGTACTGTTTCCTCAGCGCTGTCTCTATCAGCTTGTGCCGATATACGTCGTAATCGAACGCGGATATGTCAACGATCGGTAGCTCCGAGTTGGTCACGATGAACGAGGACGAGTGCTCCAGCGGCATCTCGTTCCGCCTCGTCGCTTCTATCTTCATTTTTTTATCAGCAGGACTTGGTCCCGTCGTCAGATCCCTGCGATTCCTGACGTTGTCGCCGCTCGCCTGCAACAGCGGCGTGGAAATGGTCCTACGGACCGTTTCCAAATGTAGATCCGCGCTCAGGCTGGAATCAGAGTCGACGAACACCGCTGTCGGATAGTGCATCACCACGGGCTGACTCCGCACCGTTCCTTCGTTGGCTCGACGACCCGGTGAACTCCTCGACCGAGCCTTCAGCGAGATCTCCTGACGCGAAGAACATTGGGTATTCGAACCATAGACATATATACACGGAGCATTAACTGAGCGGGGGAGTAAAATTCGCGGTAAGGGGATAGTGGTAGATCGGGTAACTTCGTTCCTTTTCGGTGCTATTCGGGTATACAATCACGTTACATACATGTATGCTATGAGAGATGAAAGGAATATACCTATTATACGTTAAAAATTCCGTATGTTATGTAGTTTGTATAGATATATGTATTTAACAAAATTAATAAATAGTATAAAGCATTAAATAATAGTACGGCACGCAGCCCACCAGCCATTAATAACGAACCGAATTGAACCGAAGGCGTCCGAAGCTAACCGACGTACCTCAAACGATCGCTGCCTTCTCCCCTCCAATCCTACGGTCCCCTTGCACAAAGTGGTAGCTTATGTTCCGTCTATATATATCTATGATTCGAACAGTGTATACAAACATCGAGATCCGAGAACGCGCCGGCAACGGAGACGGAATTTTTTATTGGGAGTATCGCGTCTACGTCCCGGACAGAACTATGATATTTTGTTCGACGGACGGCGACGACGGTTGATTGGGAAGTATCGTTCGTCGCAGCCCACCGGTCCATGGGATGTTTGCTTGCGAAGACTACACTTGTTGGCTGCCTTTATTTCGAAATTGAATTCCCTGGGATGTTTCGAGTCTGACGGGCCTATATCGAGACGCACCCGGCATTTCGAGGCGTGACGTTTGCTTTTCGTTGCCCCGGACGTGATTTATTTGAAGGTGGTGAAGTTAGGAAGAAGGTAGGTTTTGTGGTAGCCAAAAGTGCGTCTATGTTTTGGATTGTAGCTTTCGAGCGAATATTGATCGTTTCGAGGGAGGTATTTAGTAAGTACTGGAAAAATATAGGGTGGTTTTTATATTCGTGGTATAGCAAATCCCTATATTACAAGGGTGTATACAGGGTGTAACAAAAATGTTGTCCGACCCGGAAATGGGGTACTCGAGGCGTGAATTGGAACAAGTTGTTCCTTAGCAACAATGTAATCTGAGGCTTCGTTACCGAGATATTAACGAAAAACCCCGACCAATCAGAGCGCGAGTTTGCCAGCCGAGTTCCCGCCCTAGCGGTGTCTACGCGATGCGATTTGTAACCAACGCTACCGCGGGAACTCGGCTGGCAAACTGGCGCTTCGTCCGGAACGTACGTCCTCATACATAAGACGTTTTTATGCTATTTGGGTATATGTTGGAGATCTTAGTTTCAAACCTAACAATTATTTTATAAAATAATAATATTGTAACAATTCATTTTACAAACCGTCACAGGATTCAGTTCACATGACAGTTTAATTATCACGAGGATTCACGTTAATTCAATGAATAATAAGTAACATAGAACACAAATTTATGTTTTATCCTTCTTTCTGAAAATCATATCCGAAAACTGGAATTTACATAAATATCCGCAATCTACTGATAACAACATCTACGCTAAATAGTGTTTATCAGATAGAGTTCGCGTATAGTTTATTTTGCAATGTCAAAAATAAGAAAAGAACTAGTTTTATTAACTGGTAATTTATAGTTTAGTGTTAACCCTAGGAGGAGGGGGAGGGCTCCTCGAACCTACACGGCGAATAACGTAAAATTACAACTATTTTTCGTCTGCAATAAATTCTCAAAAAATTATTTATTGTCGTATACATGTTCAAGTTTCCTTGTCAAAAATCCTTCTTATTATATGTGAAAAACACTGTGCATAAGAAAAAGAAAACGGCCTACGCGTCACGACAACGGCAATTGCGCGTCGATGTTATCATGCCGTTGTTACGTCTTATTACACGATATATTACGCCTTTCGTATTTCCAAAGAATAACAAACTATCACAGAATGAAGAATCGAACTAACAGAAAAATTAGAAGAATCAGATTCAGGCTAGTTCCATGTTAGTATACTATTTTACGAAGCCATTCTATTTTACAAATATGTACAGTGGACTCTAACTATATTGCCATGGTCGGGACTGTGGGAGAGTAAAATGGCAATGAGTTCAGAGCCCTCTCTATGCTAAGTTCTGTCGTCCTAGCCTCAGCCTCAGCGCCTGCGCAAAAGCTGGATCATGTTGATGCGCCGGCGTACGCAACGTGGTGGGAGAGCGAATTTATCTGAAGGGAAAGTGCCTCGCGTGGCGATATCGTTAGAGGCCACTGTCCATATAAATCAAAAATAATGTTTAGAATAAATAGGTGCTATCTTGTTTGTAATGTATAATATACTCGAATGTTATAAAATTTTCATATTGAAATAACTCTTTTAGGAGAAATATGTGTGGGTTCGAGGAGCCCCACCCCCCTTGGGCGTTTACGTGACAGCTTGAAGTTTAGGCGTTCTAGGGTTAAAACAAACTAAATTACTATAAATATTTCAATAAGAAATAACTATCGATAGTAAACAAAATTATTTAAAGAATATTAAAAATAAATACCTTGTTTTTAGTCTTATATTTACCGACACATTTTTGCCTTTCTTAATGAATTCTTTTAACCATTAAAATTTGTATGCATATATCTGAAGCACTGTTCTCAATTGGTACATTAACTGGAAATATTATCAAGACAAGCCAATAACATTTAAAAATTAATATTTCTCTATTTCGTTTATATATTAAGCTGTCAACATATTCAACTACAGACACTAGCAAAGTATAAAGTAACAATTTATTTCAAATTCTAAAGCCTTTTTGAAATTTGACATAAAAGTTGAAAGGTTAAGTATACGAAATACTTCAAATCTAATAAAACTCCAAAAACAATTCCATTTAAACAATAAGAAAACAACACATTTTAAAAATAATATACTAATATCCTTTTCATACCCATAAATATATGAATAAAAATGATTATATTGCAAAAACATCAGTTCCCTTAATTTTCTCACGCAAAGTGCGATTCGTTAATATAACCCGGTCAGTCTCCAAGGAATTCAATTTACACGTCAGTGGCTCCGACAAACGTTCCACGATATTAAGGGTTGGACCTACTAGAAAATGCTGAACTTGAAGGATCAAAGGCACAGCGAGCAACACGGCCAGAGTCAGTGCGAAAACGCTTTCGACAACGAACGGCGGGATCGATTGAAAGGTTAGAACAAGCTTTCCAGACTCCACGACGTTCAGCATGACGTTTCCTTTCCCTCGAATCTGTTCCTATTCCGCGAAGGGTGGTTCGAACCTTCCCGCGCCTCATGTTCGAACCTCGATTACCGGATGCAGGAGTCGGGCGATCGATGTCATTGCAACCCGCACATTGTTCACGGAAACGTCTTCCATAATTGAACGATCGACGATGACCCCGATTCCCACTCGTCTCTTTTCCCCTTCGTTTGTCGACGATCGCGCCCGGAAGTGCTGAAATCGAGGCTCTCGAGCGGGTTTCCATCAGAATAGACGTATATATATATATTGTTATTAATATTAACATTAATAAAGAAATATGGTCGAAATTATGTCATGCTTGATCTCATTTTAATCGAAAGGATCTCACCAACATGTTAAAAAAAATTACTGATATCTCAGAAACTGTTCACTTTAGATCTTCACTTTAGACCCTATATGATACTTTTTTATGCTTATTAATTACATACAAATGATAAATAATTTACTATACTAACTTCACCTCTAAATCCCTTCCCTATTTATTAATATAATAATATATATGGGTATGTATGATTGTTTACGACTTTTAGATCAATTCTTTGCTTTCGATTTTTTAAGGGAGTCGGTTCTCATGATTGGATTCGACAATTCATTCGACAATCGATTCTTTGAAGTGAATCGAATATCCTTAACCCAAGGTCCAACGGAACAAATACGTCCCATCCCATATAAGATTTTCAAATAAAACACAAAATCTAAAGGAAACAAGTTGGTCTCAATTCAGCTTCCATTACAAACGCAATGATCGATATACAAACAAATTTAAAAAAAATATTAATTTAGTCACGAAAGGGTTAAGGAGTGTCCTGAGAGTGTTCTTTTCTTTTTGGATTGTTATATTGTCCAGAATCGTCGTTCACGTTCCTCCATAGTTTGTGTCGCGTTGATATTTGTCGTGTCGATATTCGTCACGGTCACGATACCCCGAGGAAGTCGAGGGTCGTTGGAAATAATACTACAACCCGGAAGGATATTACCAGTCGGTAAATGGGAAACGCATTGGGACGTTTAGTTTGAAGTACGCGAACCTGTGCGTTGAGTGGTGTGCACCTGTAGAAAGTTATTACGCTTTGTTCGATAAATTAATGTTGCAGCACAATATTCAGTTCCGCTCCACGTCTATAACTGGATTTCCAAATAGTCGAAGTACCGGTGAACACGCTTGCAGAAATTACTTTTGAATCGGCTGCAATTTAAACGTCCATTTTATCGGTGGAAATGGGAGTGTTAACTCTTTTCCCGCTACCCAAAGGGAATGTGCAACATTTATAATGTATACAATATTTTTCAAATTATCGTCTGCCTCTACCGTGGAAGCACGAGCTTATTACATGTTGATTACATTTTTTTTGTAGTGAAGATGAACTTTACGGATTTATGCTTTTAAAATCTCAGGTTGTACACGATAAACGGGAAATAACATGATTTATAATAATAATACAAAATAATCTTACGTATGTATTATAGAGAGTCTCGAAATCTCTGAACTGATTAATCATTCAGTCACGAAAGTTTTCCATTATATTCGAGAATTTATAAGAAATTATTGAAATTATTCGAACTAGCAGACTTTTGCTATTACGTTTAATATTTGAGATTGATTTTCTATTAATTTACACATTATGTATTGTGGAATTAACATTCTTATAATACTGTTCCGTCTTACAATTTTGTTTCTTGCTATGAATTTATAAAAATTAATGACAGTATACAAAAACTCAATGCTTCAATGTATAACTATTATTTACTAATCACTTTATACCAAAACAATAAAAAATGTATTATACAGAGACCTATTTAATGTTCTTTTACGTAACGTAATGTTAAACTCAATTTAATAGAGAACTAATAACGATGTTACAAGCATTATTTCATATACAATAGTTGTATGTAAATAACTAAGTTATACAGAAACAGGAAATTTATACGAAGGGTATGGAAACTTTCTACCTCTAGTTCTATTTTCTCAAAACTGAAAGCTAGTATAAAAACTTTTACCAACATGTTAGCTTTATTTTAATGCGCAAAAACATCAGATTATACCGTCATATACTAACAACCTGTATATTTTTAGGATATTAAAACTAAATTAAGATCTGTAATTACAAAAAAATTAAAACTTAATTAAGTTATATCTTTCAGCAGCGATGAAAGAAAATGTGTTTTTACATTTTACTGCAAATTTTCTAAAAAAAAAACACGTTATTTGACATAAATTCATAAATTAGTTTTTCTTTGTATTTCTGCTCAAAAATATTCATAGGCTTCAATCACTTTCTTTTAGGGCACCTTGTATATTTTACTTTGAACAAAGTTGCCGCAGAAGAAGAAATAACAGCAATAAAAAAAAAGCAACGTTTGTACGTGTATGTGTACGTATACCTACATACGTATATGTATTGGCATCAACAAGGAAATTGCTTTCTGAAGAACTTTTATAAAGAGAACGGCTCGAACGGTGAAGCACGGATTCTGTAAACTTTTTACGGCTGATTACGCAATTGTTACTGAACCATTGAAGTAATGAAGTTTAAATCGCTGATACCGTTTAAACTCTCCGGGGTGAATATTTTCTTTTAACTACGAGGCACGAATTTGCTGAAACGAAAACAGATCCAACACAAAAAATGTAGATTAAACAACTGGAAGTATTTAGAATATTCCTGTTTGAATGAATACATCAAAAGTGTAAAAAAAATCGTTAGTAACGGTGTTTCTTTGTCAATCCTTATTAAATTTTGTTGAATTAAAGTTAATTTTTTAAGCACAATAAAATGGAATTTGTAAATATTTCTAAATATATTGTACATTTATAACATACGTAAGCGTATGTATAGTGTGCGTCAATAAGTTCTGACGTTATGAGACTTGCACGTCTATCAGTCATAAAAAGAATTCAGTGTTGGATTGATACTAATGGTCTTCATTTTGAACACCTACTACGATTTTATGCAATAGGTCGTTGAACTCGTTTTAAGTTCCTCTATCATTCTACGGAAACAAAAACATACTGATCCATTTAAAAAAATGGAGGTGACCTTGAAATATCCAAAGTACCTCCATCTGCAAAAAAACTATTAGCGCCATCGGATGGCTCTCTTCGTACTATGTAATTTTGGTTAAACAAATATTTCTGTGAACCTTATAGTTTCGAACATATTTGAGGTGGTAATTGTTATTGCCCCACCCTGAATACATACAGTGGGTGTAAAAAGTATTCGTACACCCTTTAAAACGGAACAACTCTTTTAAAATTGGTCCAAACGACTTGAGTTTTTCTGTGAAGTTAGAGACATTAATTTACTAAATGATGTGAAAAAAAAAATTTGAAAAAATTGCAATAGGTTCGAATCGCGAAAAAAATATTAAAGGTCGTGTTTTACAACTTTTTAATCTGAGGCTATAATGAAAATTTAATAAATACATAACGAAGATTTATGTTAGTTATATACACGTTGAAAATTTCATCAAAATCGGTTAACGTTGCTACGAGATACCAACGATCAAAAGTGTTGAAAATCGTAGTTTTTCCCGACTTTCGATCTACAACTGTAGTAAATCTAACAATTCTCACATCTTTTGATGTCTGTCGTTCGTTTCTGTATTAACCGATTTCAATGGAAGTTTCAGTATGTACATAACTAACATAAATCTTCGATATGTATTTATTAAATTTTCATTATAGCCTCAGATTAAAAAGTTGTAAAACACGACCTTTAATATTTTCTTCGCGATTCGGACCAATTGCAACTTTTGCAAATTTTTTTTCACATCATTTAGTAAATTAATGTCTCTAACTTCACAGAAAAACTCAAGTCGTTTGGACCAATTTTAAAAGAGTTGTTCCGTTTTAAAGGGTGTACGAATACTTTTTACACTCACTGTATGTATATCGCACCCCGGCTGCAAAGCGATATAACTCAAAAAATATGAATTTCTAGTTTTATGTGTAGAAAGACCATGACTGCAGACTTCTACATGTTGAAAAACTGGTACAACTCTACCTTCTATCTCTTTCCAGTAGAGGGCAGTTGATAGACAGTTGTTGTAAACGTTTTAATGTTGCGCTAAAACTTTGACAAACTCTCCTGTAAAACTATACATTTTTTAGATATGATAGTATTGCAGACGGGATGCGACAGATACAGGGTGTTCCGAAAAGATGGGCCAATCCGCAACATGCATATTCTTTAAGCAAATACAAATTGAAAAGCTCTTTACCGTTATGTAATTTGAAGTTCCATTTTCGAGATATTAGCAGTTAAACGAACTCCAATCAGGTGAGTGATGGGCCATACGTGGGCCGTACGCTGCTAGGGTAGAAAGTAGAAAGGCAAAACGCCTGTTTCATCGTTTAATGGTACCGTCCGGTAAAAATTTTGAAAAAAAAATTCACTTTTTTTTTGCATATTTTCATCATATAACATCTCAAGAATGCTATGTTAAAGTTTGAGTAAAAAATTCGCAAAAGTATAGATTCTACAAGCATATATCTACAACACGGTCATTTAACCCTCACTTACAGCATAAAGTGACTAAACAAAAATACTCGCACAAGCCTCCATTAGATCTAGAAATACAAGAAATTGTAAAACCAGTATACAAAAGCTTGACTTCTAAAGAACTTTTAAGACGTTCTATAGGAAGAAATACTCAGAACAATAACGAAGCATTCAAAAAGTGTATATGACAGCGAGAAACATGAAAACTTTTAATGGGCGAGGTTTGCGGTTTTTTATGTAGAACAATATGGTTCTAACAAATTGTCCAAAATATAATTTGTTTATAACAAAAAAATTTCGGATCGAAACTTCGAGGGGTGGTTTCATCCCTTAAAGTCGCGTCTCGGCCGATAAAAAAAAATACGTATCCCTTATTTTTGACTGTTTAACAGACGTACGAAGTTTCATCAAAATCGGAGGGGGACACTTCCGTGCCTTCCCTTGTGAAATGGTCATACCTAA